AACTCTATAAACAGTTGTCAATACATTTTTTAATAAATAATTTCGATGGATGGCTTGATTCTCTTTTACTGGTTCGAGTTCGGTTCATTTTCGGTCTCTGATTGGTAGTACAGGCTGTATAAGGATAGTGGAAGTGTAATTCACGTTTAACAATAAGTCAAGTTTTTCAAAATTTGATCGGCAACAGTGTAGCTAAAAAGTCAAAACTTTTATTGCGAAGTTCGAAGTATAGTAATGGAATTTGAATTCCGCTTTTCGAATCAATGTCGCCTATTCACTTACTAAATAACCAAAGTAGAAGTATTTCTGGATTTCTTTACTTGGTTAAAGTTTTTTTTCTAAATGGTAAATTGATAATAGACTTCACTAGAAAAAAGGTCCCCTACGGAACCAACGAGGGTCTTATAGGAAATCTACGAAGTCTTGAAAAAGTATCTCAGATCTTTAATAAGTCGTTTTGAAGATGTTTTAGGTCTATAAGAAAACTTAAAAAGTTTCGACTTCGTTGCACATCAAGTTTCTTATAATCTTAAAATGAAGAATCCCGGTGTCGAATTCTATAGGAATCCCTACATAATCCGATAATTTCCGACAGTTGGAGAACGTTGGCCCCCCTCCCCTCATTATCGCCCTTTTCTTCGAGTATCGGTCGGACTGGCAACAAACCATTGGTTACCAATACCCACCTAATCCTTTTCTCACCTCATAAGTTCAATATTTATAACTTGTTTATAAATAATTGCATTAATTCATACTTACATTTGGATTAGCTGTTGGATCAAATCTAAAGAACAAAATTATACAATTTAATCCTTGAAGTATGGAATTATGGCGATCAATCACAACACTTGATTACATATCTGAAGAAAATATTTAGAAAAATTAAGCTGCAGACGTCTATTAAAGGGCTATGTGAAATTCGAAAAAGTTAAATAGATAAGCAGTTTTCTTAAAACGTAAAAGAATTATTTTACAACCTTGATCGAGATGAATAGTAATGTAATAAAATGACAATAAAATATCGACTACCTGATGCATATACACGGTGCATCTTGCAAAATATGTCTGTAAGAGAAAAAAGAAACGAAGGTGATTAGGCATATCAATATTCTAGTCAAACAATGGAAAAATAATGTAAATCTCTATTTTATGCACTGAATATTAATATATGTTAACTACAAAAGTTATGCGTTTTTGGAAGAGGAGGTCTACTAGATCTTTTTCATGATAAATGATAAAGCTTTGGTATCATGTCTACGTTGATGATTAATTATTTTTTTATAAACTGCACGACGACATAGGCTAATGACTTTCTCGTAAATTAGCTGCACATTAATAGTTTTAATATACTTAACTTTAACTTATTATAACATTTATTTGTTCAATCATTAATTTAAGAGAAGGAGAAAAAAAAATAAAATCAATAATTTATACTAATCGGTCACTGTTCGTTCAATTGTATAACTTCTTTGTCACCTTGAACAGTCATTGAGAAGCGTGAACGTTTAATCTGAGTTAACAAAAAACGGATTGGCGTTGTCAGAAAAAGTATTAAAAATATATTTCACATGTTGTCTAATAATCACAAAAAAGCAAAACTGAATACTATTATACCATCGGATACGGCAAGTTCCCACTGTTGCGGTGGCTTCGACCAAGGGTGCCATTTTTTTCAGAGTTTGTGGTGTATACAGAAACAAGCGTTGGTTACGGCTCTTTACGAGAGTACAGTGGGAGAAAAATGGAGACTAATAGCAATTTTTTTAATGATTGCAATTTATAACTTAATATGTTGATTATATATAGCTGATATTTCGTAATGATTATCTGTACATACCTAACTTCTCTTACTTGAAAGACTTGTGAAAAATGAAGTTTTTTGATCGTCGAAAACTACGAATTAGCACAATAAAAAGAAGTTGTCTCATTACAATGTTGTTTACCAAGAATGAGAGGGCAATTTTTTCCATACACTTGACACAATTATTAACTTTATATTGTATAGATCTGACATGGACTAATTACTCTTCAAAAGTCTAGAGCAGGTTATCATCAATAATTTGTTTCCAATTTTTGAATCCTTGCAGAAAAAAACATAAGGGTACAAATTAGACTTCATTTTATAGTCTTGATTTGATATTTATCTAAATATAAAGTCATAAGATTTTTAAGGAAAAGTTCACTGTTTGATTGTACGGGAGCACAGAGATACATATATGCACCAAACATTTTTAGAAAAAATAGGTGTTTTAGTAGTTTGTTACTTGGAAAAAGCTTCTTAGTACCAGATTATAAATAAATTAGTAAGCGGACGATGCATACAACTCAGAAGAACTAGGATTTTCATAGAAAACACATTTTCTTTGTTATATTTTTTATTTATACATCAGTTAATATTTAGAAAATGTACAGATGAAGATGCAAAAAAGTGCTCAAATTTGAGTCAACAAATATTGAAGGGAATTCATCAAATTCAAATGTTCAGATTTGACGCCAGTCTAACTGTACTATGTAAATGAACTCGCTGATGCTATGAAGTTTGTCGCGAAAGAACGAAATGACAGAAATACTTCGGATTAGTTTATGGTATCTTGCAAGTTTTAACGATGTCTTCTTGATATGTTGTAGAAATTTTTTTATAAATGTTATGCGAAGTTTGAAATCATTCTGTCATATATCTTGAAACGTATTAAAATGAGTTTTCGAATATTTCATATTTTCTAAAGTTCTATGTAAAACCTAAATTTATCGATATTCATTGCATGTATTGCAATCTTTGTTAACTCTCACTATAAAAATTATTCACTTTCACTACCATTATCTGTCTCAGACGAATTTTAGAAAGATCATGCAACCAAGTGTATTTTTACGAACGAGAAAACTATGAAAGTATGAAACAAGTGATTTTATACCTTGAACAAAGGTCTTTTTTCCCTTTACTTTTTATGCTGCTATACTTTGCATCAAATTTATTACTGAGTAAAGATATGACATGAGAGTTTTATTAGTGTGATTGGTAAGTCAAGATGAAATAAATCTTACATTTCATATCTCTACTCAGTAATAAATGGAATACAAAGTTTGACATCATAAAAAGATAATTAGGAGAGAAATTTTTGTTTATGGATGTACTTCTTACAAGAGAAACTAGGCATGGTTTTTTTTCCATATATTTAATTTCTAACAGAGTTAAAGAACCGATGTTAAAATGAAATAGCCAATTTGAAATCTGAAGTTGGCGTACTTTTGCTGTTTATTTATCTATTCAAAACTTGATGAACTAAAATTTTAATGAAAACTGTATAAAAATTGCAATTGAATTTTGATAGAATGTTACATTTGAGATACTATATATGAATAAGAATTTAAACGCGCATCTTTGCGCATTTACTAAACATAGATGATGACATGCTCTATTAAATAACACGTTGAAACTTGAATTAAAGTTTTGTGAAAATTCGGGAAAATAACTGCATTACTGACCAATGCTTATTGTTCTTCAATATTAGCTATGATATAGACTTAAATCTCGAAAATCGATCTTCTTACCTGGCTGACCACTGTGTGGAAAGGAAAGGAGACGTTAAGAACTCTCACGCCGCGATGCTGAAATAAAAGGATCATTACACAAGCAAAAGGTTTTTGGAAAGTTAAATGTTTCACGTGTTATGTAAATGTATCTTGTTGTGATACAAACTCTATGAGAGTTCAAAAGAAGTATTTATTACTTTCACCAAAACAAGAAAATTATCAAGACGACTACACATAATAGTATGTCCAATATGAGATTGATATCTTTGTCATTATTAACCATCGAGAGAGAGATTGTGGTTGATTATGAAAATATTATTGATGCTTTCGCAATACAGCATAAGAACAATCGAATACTGTTGAAATAATTCTTTTTTTAAGCTGATTTCCCTTTTTTTCTTTCTTTTGTTAATTTTATTATATTTAATAGAAGAACAGATATTTTTTTGTGTCACTTACTAGAAACTAGATAATTGAGACATTTGATTTATACTGAAGAAAAAAATTTAAACTGGAACAGAGAGTTTTCAAGAACCATGGACAATACCCTCCCATCCTCAATTTCCTAGATATGTCGTTAAAATATGAGCCGATCAAATAGACTAAACCGATTTTGTTACAACTATGAAATGCGGCGTATAATGTTGTGAGTTAGTTCAAAGTGGATGCGTGAGTCTGGTTGGTTCAATAGATGAATAGAAGCACTGGACAGCACGCAAACGGACATTTTGACCGACAATGGAACTGAGACGCATGCTGACGCTCATAGTTACATCTATACCAATCTCTACACCCTAAGTTTCCCGAAAACATGCATTTAATATTAATATCAATCGGTCTTCTAAAATGGTATATTGCACAGAGAGATTTGGTCATTCAGTCGAGGACCAAGCGAATCTCAACAACAAGCGTTACTTATTCTTTTTAGGCAGATAATACGACAGTGAATTCTAATTTTTGCTACCTCACGCTAATCCATCGAGGAACACTCTTTTTTTTATTATGTACTAATGGTTAAATCTATGCCTCCTTCTTCATTGAAGTAATTACAAGAGGATGGGTCACGGCAACGCTTTTTGCTTGGAAGAGCCTTCCATTTATTTGTTGTTGAAATCACGTCACACACGCACAGCTATTCGAATGCCTTAGAAAAGCTTCAAATGGAAACCAAAGCATGACAAGTTAACTAAAAAGATATTAACATAGTGTTGAATCTACTACACAACTTCAGTTATTCTAGAAGACATATAGATATGAAACGATGGACTTTATTCTGCAGTTTACTGCAATAATTGATACATGTGTCCGAGGATTTGTAGAATATTATAGTAAAAATAATGCGAAATAAATTATGGTGATTAACTTTTTTTCGTTAATTCTTTTGTTAAAAATTGACCATGAATACATTTTACGATCAAAATTTTATTACTTGATATAATTCTGCATTCTATTGCACCATGAATTCTATCTTAACCAATAATTAAATCACCCCAACTCATGCTAATAATATTATTATTGTATGTACCAACACGAACATGTGCCCATCTATTATTTTTATCAATTGCTAACCAATATTTTTGAGTTTGACAAGTACCAATAATATAACACGATCCATCATCACCTTCCCAACAACCACTCATATCATCTGCCGTTTTCTATTTCATATTTTTATCAATTTCAAATGTATCTAAATATTCGTTTGATATTCGACGAAATTCTGTACCCCAAAATATTTTATTACTGTCATATGTTTTTATCACACTTTGATAATCTGATGACAGTTTTTGCTTTAATACGCCAGACTATTTATCATGTACAAGTGGAAGATCACCCCATTGTATTGTCAATTCATAATCATTATTTATTGTACCATAACCGACATTGGCAAAATTCCATCGTACTTTGCTTTGTCGTCCAAACCAGAATACTTTTTTGTCTGTAGTGACTTATACAATATGTACCAGCATCTTTTACATTAAGCCCGTTGTCATCACATGTCCACACACCAGATAAATTACATGCAGTATCTTCAATCACTAGTTCTATTTTAGTTAGATCCTTTCCACTGTCGTTAAATTGAGTAGGGTCATTTAGAACACGAAAACATGTATATGGTTGCAATAGTACTTCTTTTTCTGATGGGAACTTAGATATGTCATCTATGTTGAAGCATGCATGAGAAAATCTTTGTGGTATATTAATAACAGAGACAGCAGTACATCTACTCCATTTAGTTGATATTTTTAACTCTTTAGTGCAAGATGTAAAACCTGACCAATAAAATAATAACCCTTTTTTATATGCCGATGATGCTACAGATCCTAAACCCATGCCACGGTACATGACACCATGATAATGTCTTTTAGATTCTTGTAAACCTCCTAATAAGCTATACATATATATGGCGCAAATAATAATAATACTTCTTTTTCATCATTTCTTAAAGCATTATTTAACTGAATGTATATACATGACTGAAATGTGTATATTTTAATCGATACTTCATTATAATTGAGATGATGTTCGCTATCATATAACCCAGCTAATGTATAATAAGTTTCACCATATTTGTTTAATACTTGACGAATTGATAGTTGTGCATTACTTTGATTATATTTGTCAGAATAGTCCAATATTTCTTTATAAAAACTTTGGATTGTTCTTAAATAAGTTAGAGTATTACCTGGTACAATACGAGGATCATGATCAGGATCTTGAAAATCTGCTACTAGAGTTATGTCTTCAGTCATGAAAATGAAGAGGTACTTTTGATTCAATAAACTAAGAATCTAGAAACAACAAGATAAACCTATCGTATCAATCTGATCGATATTTCAATGATATGCACATGCATAGTAGTTATTCTCAATTATTTAATCAAAAAAAAGAATGTCACTTTAACGAAGGTGATCTATTGCAAGAATAAATCGTAAGAAGATGCGTCGTCACAGTACGTGAGAGAATGCAAGAAATGCGTTCACAAAAATTGAAAATCAAATAAAACTTAATTTAAATGACTTGATTTTCGAGAATTTGATTACTTGATCAAAGAAAAAATTATTATGATGTGAGTGACTCAAATTAATACAATGGACAACACAAGTGATTTGAATTTTCTTGAAATCTGAAATTCAAAAATTAATTTAAATTGATCTTTTTTCATTTTTCAACTTTCTGGATGTCAAGCTTGATATATTGGACATTTTCTGCATCGGAATAATATCGAAATATTTTGATGATTTCATACAAGATCAGTTCTATTGATCTGAGCAAATTCGGATGGAATTATGCATTCACTCAACATGGAATAGATGTATAACGGACTCTATTTCAAAGCTTTTCCGTGACATCTACCTAAACTTGAGATTTCGAGTATATATATTCTACTTGCTTTAGCATGGTAGTCAAGACTTTGAGCTATCGATTGGTGAAAAAGCCTACAAAATTTTGTTTTAGTAGTTCCCACCGTTTTAGCTGAAATTACTCATTCTCTCAAAATAAGACGATTGCGTAATTCGAAGGCAACACTTAGAATATTCTACATGGCAGCTAGTCATGAGGATACTTCAAAAAAGCAAATTTCACAGATCGATAGAGGAACGCTTACTCTATCAGATTTGTCAGGAAAATTTTTTGAAATATTCAGAAATGAAAAGGATATACATTTTACAAAGCTTATGATGCGATTTTTCGTACGCATTCACCCTTCTTACTTTAATATATTGTGTCGCATTTTGAATGCTTACCTATGTCTGTTGACTTTTCACAAGAATAAGTTTGTCGTGAAATGAAAAAATCGAAAGTGATTCACTGCTTTCCTACACAGTGACAATAAAGAACAACTTTCTCGCACTTCTATTAGTGAATGTTTTGAAAATAGAATTGAATTTTTTTGAAGAGAAATAAACTGCTCGATACTTTAATGGTTTCTATTATATGATCAACCCTCATATTGCTAGGTAGGATTTGGTTGTAGATGTAGGTGTGAACAAGGATTTTTCATTCTTATTCTCACCGTCACGTGTAAGCCTAGACCAACCTTCATCTAGAATGGCTTATTATTATTATTTCACCAAAATGATTTACAATACTCATCATAATCTACTATAAATTTTTTAATCTTGAATGTTCTAAACTAGTGATTGAAAAACTTATTTCATTTCGATTTCTTTTATGTATTCAGATAATTCTTTCCTGTTCAAATAAATTTTAAAAAACAAATTTCACTAGTGTAAATTGATTCGTTTTGTATTCTGCTTCTTAGGCATTTATCAAAATAGCCCTAAAGATTCATTTTCAACTCATATCAATTGATGAAAAAAAAATAACTGAAAACAGAATGTGTCTGTACTGAGCTCATTTGTTGTAAAATTTTTTCGAATTTCCAAAAATAGTTTAATCGAAAAAAAATAACTTCACATTGTGTTCATTCTTGACACATTCTCATCTGAAAATTGTCTCCTAAATATCTTTCAAGAATAAAACTTAGCTCATTTTCACCATTATTTTCTTTAAAAAAAAATTGAAACTCGTAACTTTATATAACTAATTTAGTCTAAGTTACAGAAGGTTCCATAAGACAAAACTTATATAACAGACTTCTGTATTTTATGAATGAAAGTTTTAATTTTTTCCTGTTCAATGGCCATCGAAAAATAACCTCAAAAAGACATAAAGAATATCATTAAGATAGCACAAACTAAAAGAAAAAACAATGAATCCCAAGCAGCTTTTACACATAGTGTCTGATCCTTTTAATGTGAACATAAGGACACGTCCTATCTGTTGATTTTGTTTGAATATTTGACTGTTAATTAAATATTTCAGCAACCATAGTCAAAGTCGATAGAAAATCCATTCCTATCAATGATGTCAAACAATGTAATAGATTAATGAGCACATCAACTATTGTTAGTTTTAATAAAGCCAAGTATGAAAATTATACTAGTCAATGTGTTATTTATTTTCAGTACTTTTAATAGTTTAATATAATAATTAATTCTTGCATCAATGGATCTACAAGAACCTATATTTAGGGATGTGGGTGTGGGTGTTGGTGTAGGTGTGGATGTCTATTAATTAATAAATTGAATGGTTTCAATAAATCATTTAAAACAAAAATCCACTCGGTCATCTAATACATTTAAGCAACATCGTAAATCTTCTTATACTTATCATTCTCTTGATCTAATTTGTATTTACTGTGCGTCGAATAATTACAGGTTTTGTCTAATGAATGATAGTACGTTTTCTTTGGGACACATGTATGTATACTAAAAGTATCTAATTAATTATTCAATATTAAATGTTCAAGATAAATTTTTTGATATTTTTCTGTTTTGGAGATAGAAAAGAAACATGCTGTTCTGTATTACGAACCGACGTATACTTTTTAGTAGTAAAATTAAAACTATAAAAATTTAGAATAATAATTCTTTTGTTATAAGTAATGAATTAATGAAACTTGAGCATGTCTCCATTTACAATATCTCCATAGAATTCAAAGTTTATCAATAAACTTGCAACAAATAGATATTTAAAATAAATGACATTCAATATTTATTCACGTCATTGAAATAGTGTACATCAGAAAAATAATGTTTTTATGAAATATCGATTTAATGATTATTTTTAGTAACTTGATTAATAGATGTGATATTATCACATTTAAAAAACGTTACTTGAATTGGTTTATGAGTGTAAGGTAATGGTTTGTAGGCTGTGAGTTTACATTTTTGCTCTTCACCAACGATAAATATTAACCAATAGTTGGTACCGGCAACTATTTGTGAATAAAATTCAAGTACTCGAATAGGTTTAGAAGCTAATTGAGTGTTTGAATTTAATTGTTGACGTGCTAAATTCACCAGTTCAGTCTTTAATTCATTGTTATAAGATTTCTGTAATCCACCTACTAGCTGACCGAAATAAGCACACTGAAAGCAAATTGTATCAATAGTTATTGTCAATATCAACCAACGAACGAACATCGTTATGAAAGCTTCTTTCTATACTTATGAGAAGCAATAACTAGAATATATAAAGGGATAGCAAAGTATACAGCTGTGACCATCCACTATCGATTAATTAATATCTTTTATTGTTCGACTATTATATGTTGAATATAGTGAGTGTAAGTTTCAAGTTCAAATTTTTCAGCTTCATGTATAGCAATGAGGGGAGGAGGAGAGAGAAATAGTCATCGAGTACGTTTACATAATAATTAAGAACAAAAGGTATCTGACTTCTTTCCTAGAGTTTTGAACGGCATTAAGCACAAGACTTAGACTGTCCTATAACATTCTAAAGGCCTTACTGTTAAATTGATTGGCATCGAAACATTTTTAGACGTTGCACAGGCAAACATTTATATCCACGATATTAATCATGATGGAAGATGAAGCTTTGATTGACCACAGGCATCATATGTTCAATATTACAAGCGTAAATTGATAAACTTATAACAGTGGACAATAATCAATATCAAGGTTTATGAGCTTATCGAGGTTTTTAATAGAGTATTGAGACTTGTTGTAGCAATAATGGATGCGTACACCAGCCTTATTTGCCGGCTAAATCAATAGCTACAATAATAATAATGTAACATTAAGAAAAGCTGAATATGAAAATGGAAAACAAGGAGTGAATTGCAATAAGACAAACAAAAAACAATAGCGCCAGTGAAAAAAAAAGGACATCTGTTCGAAATGCAGGTCGTTTTCCTGACAATCAATTTTCCTTAGAAAACAATTGTGGTTTATTACTTAACGTATTTTTTATTAGCATAATGAAGCTACAGAACATATGTGAATTCTACATTTTACCCTTAAAATGGCTGTATTGATCAGCATTTTGTTTTGTATTGAGATCGATGTCGAAAATAGATGAATATTTTTAAAATGACAATTTAAAAGAAAAATAACTTTATGTTATTATGCAGATAACCATTTATTTTTAAAGCTTGAGTTCATTTCTGTTTTATAATAATAATTTCATATTATTGTATTTTTTTTCTATATGTCATATTGTTCTAAGAAAAGCGCATTGTTTTAGGGGACGGCGGCAAATTTTATATGCGTGCAAAAACAAAGAGAAAAAAAAACATGAAACAAAAAGAATTTTACGTGATACAACAAAGCATTACAAAAGTGTAAAAAAGGAGAAAAGAAGTGAGAAAAAAGGGCAATGAATCAATAAGTTTATTTATTTATTTATTTTTATTAAAGTTGTGGTCGTGGTTCAACGATAAGCCGAGCTGAACAATCCGATGAACCAGCTGAATTTGAAGCTTTACATGTAAATAAACCTTGATCTTCCATAAATACTTCTGATATATAAAATAAACTACGGTTTTCATCAGTAAAGATCTATTATTATAAAAAAGAGAAAAAATTTTATTTTTTATTTAAAAAGAAAAATCTATTTACTTGAAAGTCGGGTGAATCTCGTATAAGTTCTCCATCACGATACCATGATATAGTCGGAAGTGGATCACCACGTACTTCAACTTCAAAACGTACTTGTTCACCTTCATATGTAGTCAAATTACTAAAACCACGAACAAATTCTGGTACTTGCATTGAATCTATTTTAAAAATAATATTCTACTTAGTAACCATTAAATAAAACAAAACGTACGAATAACTTTCAATGAAGCTGTAGTAGCTGTTGTCCCAACTGGATTTGAAACAACACATTTGTAGAGTCCTAAAAATAAAAATGATTTGTTTGTACAGACGAAAAAGAAATAAATAAATAAAAAAAATCTAACCGGCATCTTCTGGATATGCTTCTAGAATAAATAACTGATGTTTGGTTCCGTCAGACTTTGGTTTAAAGAATTTCGATGGTTTGATTGGCCATTCTGATGTTCCTTTGTACCATTTAACATCCGATCCTTTTAAATAGGAAAATTATTATTATTATTACTTTTTTGTTTATAATTTTTTTTTTCATACCAAAACTAGCGGGTATAATACATTCAAATGTCGCTGATTGTCCTTCTTTAACTTGTAAATCTTCTAATGGTGTTTCAAGATAAGGTACTTTATGAATTAATTTAGGATCATCAATGATTGATGCTTTTTTGCCACCAGGTCCTCGTGGTGTTACAATTAATGTAAAACGTGTATTAGCTTTTCCAGCTGAATTTTCAGCAACAGCTTCATATTGACCACTATCAGCTGGTAAAGCTTCGAATAGAAGTAACGTAAATACATCACCTTCTTGTATAACACGAAAACGTTTATCATTAAGATTAACTGGTTCATCTTCCTAGAATATTTTTTTATTAAAAAAAACATAAAAGCAATAAAAAAAAAGATCTTATTTTTACTCGATAGAAGGCAACTGTTGGAAATGGTTCACCTTCAGCACGACATTGAAAACGAGCTGGATCACCGGCAAGAATTTCAGTATCTTGTGGAACATCAAGAAATCTTGGTGTTTGATCTTCAGCAATAACTAGAAATAAAATAATATATTTTAAATAAAAATGTATCAATCAAAACAAATTCGAAGTTAAAATTTACTTGGTAGAATACGTATAGCAGCTTGACATTGTCGAATACCAATTGGATTAAATAATTTAACGGTATATAAACCTGAATCAATAATAAAAGCATGTTTAATTGTAAGTATACTCTTTGTAGCTGTTGTATGAATTTTAAAATCTTCAGAATCTTCAACCATAAATCCATCACGATACCATGATACTGTGGGAGCTGGATCACCAGTAAATTCAACACTAACAACTACTTTTGATCCCTCTACATTTAGAAGAAAATTAAAAAAAAATTTCATTTTATTATTTTTCAAAAACAATTAATATCAATATTGAACCTTTCGCTTTTAATGGTAATAATGATCTTGTAAAGTTTGGTGCATCACCAGCTTTTTCGACAGTTTGACGCCATGCCATACGATCGGTAGCTTTTGAATGTAATGGATATAGTTTATCAGATGACGGACGACGTAATCGTTCGTCAACTATAAGATATAAAAAAAACAATAATTCATCTGTTTCTCAGCAGAGTATTCTTGTTCTTCTATTTTAATCAAAGAACTTTTTTTAAAAGAAAAACAACCAGAGATGTCTATGACGGCTGGAAATCTGCCTCGATAACTTCTTAAATGACTGCTGAAGAACGTATACATGAATATCATAAGGGAATTTTTTCCAACTAATAAACTTCCATTCTCGCTCAACTTTTGCTGATTGTTAGGTCCTATGGTACGGATAAAAGTTCCACAAGGATTTCTATTATTAGCATCCCTCTTCTTCAGAAAAATATAAGTTTATCAGTGGGAAGAATTCCATCATCAATGTCTCAGTATTCAATTCAAAATTCTCTAACAGTTAGGTGCTACATCATCAATATTATATTCACTTAAATAGTTTGATTTTCTATGATCTCTATAATAAAATATAAACGAATATTCCTACAGGTCTAGTTTTTATTTTTAGTATATCAAGTGTCAATGTCAACACTAGCATACTGACATACTCGTCATCGATATTGGAATCTATTCGAAAATTGAAACGCCAATTCTGTAAGATTAATTTGCTTTTTAGTACGTTCAGTTTTAAATATAAACGCAAAATAATGAAACGAGTGCTTCAATGATCCAATGAATATCAATATCAGTATTATCATATGTTTGCATTAGCTAGAAATAACAACTCTTACATCTATATAATTTCTATATGTAAGGAAATGCTCATCAGTGCTCAGTCACTTAACATTGTCCTAGTTAAGGAGATTTCTTCGAATAGTCAACAATGCTTATGTTTTGAAATCTTTTCTTTCCAACCATTGGCAACTCAAATAAATGAAGTACAACTAGTTTCGACAGGAAACCGGAAGCAAGAATCCGATCATCAAGTTCCTGCTTCCAAGTTCCTATCGCCTTTTAAAATTTTCTAACCGGAAACTCCATCTTCTCACCGAAAATTTATGGCTCCAGGCACTACACTCATCTCTCTAAGAAAGGATAGGAATCACAAGATCAATACGAATCTTACATCGACTGATTCTATCTTTGAAAAGAAATCTTTAAATTGTTCTATTCTATTTAAGAAATAAAGAAACAATTCCATAATGTTATTAACAAACCTGATTCTCTTTGTCGAAGTTGTGAACGTAATCTTAATCGTTCTTCAATATCAACATCAAATGAATCATCCAAACCAGTCTCAATACCACCTGGTGTTTTCGATAGACCAGAACGATAATCTAGACGTGGTCTTAAAGTAAGTATAGCAACACTTTCAGATTGACCAAGAGCATTTTTCGCTGTACAACAAACTATTCCAGCATCATATTGTCGTGTTCTTGGTATATCAAGATAATGAACAAGACCATCAAAAACTAATTTATATCGACTTCCCTATTTAAATAAAATAATAAATATTTAAGAAAAAAAAATAATGCATTCTTTTCTTTTTTTGTGTTTTATTTACATTTGCAATATCAGCATTATTAATTGTCCATGTTACTCTTGGACGTGGATGTCCATCAACTTTAGCAATAAATTTCGCATTATCACCTTCATCAACAGACACATCTTCTAATGGCATAATAAATTCAGGTACTTTTGGTTCTTTTTCTTGAACTTTTTCTTCTAATCCAATCATACTTGCTGTATATCTATTAAAACAAATAAACAATAAAAAACATTAAAATATTATTTTAAAAAAAATGTTTACCTTATTTCATCTTCTAACATCTGTAATTTTGATACACCTTCCATACCTTCTGGTAATTGTGTATTATAAATAATAGATCGTTTAGGACGACATTTTAATTCAGTACGTGTACGATCTTCACCATATGGATTTGTTGCAACACATTCATAGATTCCATCATCTTCAGCAAATGTCCAAAGAAATTCAAGTGAGACATCAGCAAAATCATATCGAGGAATCATTCTTGATGCTATAATGTTTTTAAAGAAAACAAAAATCATATTAATAATGTCTTGTTGTCATATGAAATAAAACTACAAAGTTTAGAAACACGATATTTTTCATATTTTGTAAACAAGTATATCTAATAGAGAAAATATTTTTGAACAAATTAAGATACTTCCAAACTCTCAACAGAGTACTTTTAGTAAATTGCACTCATTCTATGATCGGCTTCAAAATGTAAATTTTCATGAAAAAATAAGTCTTTTAGGTTTATTACCCACTGATGTCGTACATTGAAAGCATATCGTGAAGAGCTCTGCGACCCCTTGTTTTATTCATAAATATTAGATGAACTTGTATGCAAAACTTATTTGACAAAATCTAGAAAACTATTGTTTTGAAGTTTTAGCTTTCCAGACACCTTTCGCCGAAGCCTGTTAAAAATAATTGAAGAAGTATCTTTCCGAATAGGAGCTCGTATTAGTTAATCAAATGTTTTCTCTGATTTTTCTAGTTGTTATCTGTACGAAAAAAACTTAAAAATACTTCTTTTCTAAAACTTCTGCCTATCGTTTTCAAATCGACCTCTCAAGGCCTCACAAAAAAAAATTCAATTTTCGTGAAAAATATTAGTATTCTCGATTTTTTCGTATAAAGTAGGAAACATTTTTCGGGATGGCTAATGAGCTATTTTTTGATCCTTATAAATTGAATATCCCTCATAAACATCGTGATATAGGGCTGAAAAATTTCATCACAACCTTTTCGGCACAGCCTCAACGATTTTTGAAGTGAGAAATTTCATGTATTGCTGGACGACTACGGCAAAGTATGGTAAAGAAAAAAAATATTTTTTTTTACCATGGTGAAGAATTTTTCCATTTTTAAACCATTGTACACGCATCATTGGATCTCGTACAGGTATTAATTTAGCTTCAAATAAACATGGATCATCTTCATTTAAGTTTAATTGAGATTTAAGATGGACTTTGAATTTCGGTGGTTGTGGACGATCTTTACTATACATTTCTTCTTCAGGAAATTCTTCTAAATTCATTTGAAGTGCTGTTAGAACTTCATCAGGTAATACTCCACCGCCACGTCTATATTCATAAAAAGAAATATAAACATTTAGAAGTTTGTTTCTTTTTTTTGTTTATTAATATTTTTACCTCTTGCCTTCTTCATCAGGATAGTCCGGTCTTTTGATACGTCTTGGTAATTTATATAATTCTTCAGGTTTAACCTCAGGTGTTTTAACTGGAGCAGTCATGTATTTCGATCGAATATCTTCCTCCGGTAAACTAAAAAACAAAGTACAAAATTAAGAAAAAAAAACTAATTTTTAATTATACATACATTGGTAATCTTCCAAGAGTTTCAGGTCCAAGTTGTGGTAAGTCTTTTATATATTGACCAGCTTCGGATAATGCTAGAATAAGAAAATGGAAAGGACTATGTAGAATTGGTTATTAGACTTGGTCAGGATACTTCTATGATCTATGAAATAGATAACTTCAAACTTATTATAATGTGCGAATTTCTATTTGTCCCTATTGAAATTATGCTGATTTTATGACATTTTATCTTTTACTAATTAAATTAATTAGAAAATGTAAATTCTACCACAATTCGAAAATATTCTTTGCATTATTCAACGAATATACATACTATGGCTCCAAAAAATTGATCATACAGTTTTTTATTTAGATTCTGTACCATATTGATAACTCTCATAAATAGTTAGAATAATAATTTGAATAAAGAAAAGTATTTAAAATAAGAATACGGCGGAAATAAAATGTTTACAATAATCTCAAATTCTAGGATATCTTAAGAACATCAAACTCGTTTTTTCAGTCTTCGAAACCTGAAAATAAAATAAGAGACTCCTTTTGATTATACAGAGCAATAGAGTAACTAATTCCATACAAAATAAAACGTCTCCGAACTCTCTACGAACTTTTTTTTTAAAGAATTCCGTCGATATTATGAAAGGCTCAAATATGATATTTTTCGGCAACATGACTGTTACTCAAAAAAATATCGAAAATAAATCTGTATGATCAACTGTTTGAAGCTTCTATAAGAAAAAACAATTTGTTCAAAAATTGACTGTTTATAGTGTTCGAATATATTTTTAATCAAAACTATTGGAGGAATATATAAATTTAATACATACGAATAACAGTCACTTTGCATTTTGTAATAGCTGTTCCAGCAATACTAGTTGCTGTACATTGATACCAACCGGCATCGGTCATCTTAGCTTGACGTATAAATAATGTAGTTTTAGCTCCTTCGGTTTCAACTCTAGAAACAAATAGTTAATTAAATCAATCAATCAATCAATCAATTTTACTTGTATTCTTTATTTGGAGTAAGAGGTTGACCCTCTTTCTCCCATGTAACTTTTGGTTCAGGAAAGCCTTGTGCACAAGCATCTAGCCGTGTATCTTGACCTTCAAGAATAATTATATGATAAAGTAGTTCAATAAAATAAGGAGCAATATTTGAGCCATGTTCTAAAAAAGCAATATTTAAATTAAAAGTTGCATGGTTTTTTTTTCAAATAAAAATCACACATACCAACAACAGTGAGATTGACAGTAAATGATGCTTCACCATATTTATTTGTAGCTACACATTTATATTCAACAGGCGGTCCTAATTGTGGATTACGTACAAGTAATGAATGAGCACCACCTTCATTAACAACTTCACGATGATCAGCATCATCTGGTTGTAGTGGTTTACCATTACGATACCACGATAAAGTAGGATAAGGACGCCCAGCTGGTATATAATCTAAACGTACTAATTGTCCTTCTGGTACTTCTTGATCAACAGGAACTTTAATGAAATATGGTTTTAGTCCATCAGTTAAATCAGTTGGTTTTTGTGAAGGCTCAAGACCAGATGGTTGTTGTGGTATTTTACGAAGTCCAGCAAATTTAGCAAGTGGATGATCTTCAATATTAGCTGTTGGTTGAATACGTAATATACATTTTGTTGAAACTTCACCAGCAATATTTCGTGCAACCATTTTATATCGGCCAGAATCAGCTGCATAAACAGGATATATAGTTAAACGAACAATACCTGTTTTAGTATCATAATCAGGCATAAAACGTTGAGATACAACAAGTGGTTGATCATCTTTAAGCCAATTTATCTAAATAATTTATAATTTTTCGTTATAATTAACTCAGAATTTACTTGAATAAGTCAACTCTTCCTCCCGTTTTTGGATGTTAAAACATTGGTTTTTTTTATCGCTAATATAGCTTCGAAATGTTGTTAATTAGTACTTTTATTAAATCTAATTCTCGAAATCCTTAGCAAGAAAACTCATGCTGCGATTATTTTCTATAGGCAAACTTTTTGTAATGAAAATTTCTACAAGAACTGAGAGTGTGGTTTATGGACGTCGAATACCATGATTTTCCAATGACTTTCATTGAAGAAAAAAGAGTCGTGATGAATAAAGGAAAGTTTGTTTTGTATTTTTCTCAAAATTAATTCTTGAACAAAAAAAAAGAAGAGGGAAATTTTCTTCCATACCGTATACGTCCGATCGGGCTCAAATCGAGATGTTTTTTTATATGTTTGTTTAAAATGTTGTTTCTAGAGAATTTAGTAGCTCAAAAATATGATCTATAGAGTTTTTCAGGAGCGGACGCTATTGACTATTTTAGGATTTTGCGACCATTTCCTTTCTTTGAAGGAAGCATCTCGAGCTGTTATTAAGCAACTTAAAAAAGGATGGTAGGTTCGTGATAAAAAGAACTATACTACTTACAGTTGCTGCTGGATATGCATCAACAGCACAAATAAGTTGTACGACTTTTGTTTCATCAATCATTTGATCTTCAAGTTCTTTAACTAATCGTATCCATGGTGCAAGATTTTCCCGATTTCTTAATGAATCATCCGGTTGAAGAATTGGTCCACGAGGACTAATACCTGGTACACGTAATGGTGCATCGAATTTACCAAATTTACTTGGTTCAATAAATGGTCGTTCATCAATAGATGGTGTACCTTCAACATGTACTTCACCAGTTGTTTGATCTTTACCAACAATATTTTCAACATGTACTGTATATCGTCCAGTATCAGTTGTTGGACGTGCATTATCGATAATTAATATAGCAGTGCGTGTATTAATATCAAAATTAGCACGATATCGATTTGATTCAGCTAATGGACGATTATCTTTAAGCCATGTAAATTTACCCATTGGATAACCAGCATCAATAATACTTTTTAATACAATTGGTTGAAATTCTGTTAAACGAACATTATTCATTGGTACAAGAACTTTTGGTGGACGAAGTAATTTATTTTCGTCTTCAATATTGTCACCTAATCCAGGACGATGTTCTAATGGACGGAAATGTTCAGCATCAACAAATGGTCGTGTATCAATTGATGCTACTGGTCGAATTGTTAATTTACATGTTGTTTCATCACTACCAACGGGATTAACTGCACGAACTGTATAAGTACCTTGATCATCAGGACGTGAAGCAAGAATTTGTAATGTTATTGTTCGATTTACAATATCATATTTTGTAGTGAATCGATTGCCTTCATAAAGTGGTTGACCATTTTTATGCCAGGTAAACTAAAAACAAAGAAAAAGAATTGTTATGAATATATCTATCTGAGCAATTCATTGGAATATTCAACTTTAATTTTTATTCAGAAAGATACTTACTGATGCCATTGGTACTCCAGCATCGATTGTAGCCGTAAGTATCACAGGCATTAATTCTTCTAATATACAATCATTTAATGGTACAATCACACGTGGTGGCCGCATTGCTTCTGGAGCTACTTCTTGTTCGGGTTTTGTCATTGGTGGAACATGATCTAATTTATGAAATTTCTCTGGTGGAACAAATGGTTGAATATCAACACCAGGTATAATTTCTAGTGGTCGTCGTCCTTTTCCTTCAGGATGATCCAAATCGCGGAACTTATCTTGTGGAATGAAAGGTCGTTCGTCAACACCTGGTTTATCTGGTAAAATACTTAATGAACATATTGTTGAATCTTCACCAGCTGGGTTTGTTGCAATGACACGATATTCACCAACATCTTGTGGACGAACATCATTAATTTGTAGTAAAACTTGTTTAGTACCAATATCATAACGTGTACGAAGACGATTCGATGCAGCTAATGGTCCATTGTCTTTCAACCAAACAAACTGAAAGAAAAAGTATAAATAAAATTTCTCTGGTTTAATAGTAAGGTCTTACAGTAGGTCTTGGCTTTCCAGTAATAGTTGCTTGAAGAAGAACAGGTGATCCTTCCTTGACTCGTAAACTTTTCAATGGTACGATTACTTTCGGTGGTTCCATGTGTTCCATTTCTTCTTTGGTTGGAGCTGGAGCTTTAAGCTCTAATTGAGCGAAACGCTCTGGTTCAACGAATGGTCGTGTATCAATAGAAGCCACAGGTCGAATTGTTAGTTTACATGTTGTTTCATCACTACCAGATGGATTTGTTGCACGAACTGTATAAGTTCCTTGATCATCAGGTCGTGCAGCAAGTACTTGTAATGTTAGGACTTTCGTTAGAATGTCATATTTGGTAGTAAATCGATTGCCTTCAAGTAGTGGTTTATTATTCTTGTACCAAGTGAACTAAAAATAAACGTTAAATTTTTATTGACATGAATGGAAAGAAAATTTGTAGGAAAAAATATATTTGAATACTAAAGTGAAAGAAAAGTTGTGAGAATGAAATTTCATGATTTCACAACTGAAGATAATGTCGGTAATATTTAGTACTTAATCCAACGGTATTTTAATCGATGTTCGTATCAGTTATAAGTGTAAGTTTCAATGTTACAACTTTTCATATATTAATTCAACTTGAATAACGCACTTCGAATGTTACGAAAAATTGCAGAAAGTTATGTATACTTTCGTTTTTATTTATTAGTTGGTAGTTCATACAGATTCTATGGTGTTCGTCAGCATGTGTGTTCTTGTTTATTGATAATTTCCTTTTGTTGCATTGCAGTTCCGCTTTTCTTTTGCATTTCATATATGATTCATCTTTTTCATTGATACGTATCAAGTACGACGTCTACATGCAATACAAGTAATGCATACCTAAACGATCATTAATTTAACTGTAATTTTTCACAGCCAATAAAACAAGTAATCACTGCCAGTTTTTATATAATAATTCATAATGTGCAGAGATATTCTTTGTACTTATACATAAAGCAACGAACATTCATTCAGGAGAAGATTTCGCAAAACGATTGAAAGAAACAAAAGTAAAAAGATTTAGACTTTATGAGATCGCGAAAAAAGTTTTGAAACAAGAACCAACCGATAATATCAATGTTTTTTTCTCTGAGAGTACACCGCTCATGCGAAATTTTTATCTGATCTTTCTATATGTTTCTTTCAATCAAAACTCAGCTAAATAAAATTCCTAATCACTGAAGAGAGAATGAAAAACAATCCATACTGTAGCCATTGGGACGCCAGCATCAATTGTTGTTGTCAGTATCACAGGCATGAGTTCTTCCAGTTCACAATTGCTTAATGGTACAATGACTCGTGGTGGTCGTTTAGGTTCTGGTACTTCTTCGATTTGTTTCGCCGATGGTTCAACATGATCTAGTTTACGGAACTTATCTGGCGAAACAAATGGTTGAATATCAACACCAGGTACTATCTCTAATGGTCGTGGTCCTTTTCCTTCAGGAGCTTCCAAACTACGAAATTTATCTTGTGGTACAAATGGTCGCTCATCAACACCTGGTTTATCTGGTACAACATTTAGTGAACCTACAGTCGAATCTTTACCAGCTGGATTTGTTGCAATGACACGATATTCACCAACATCTTGTGGACGAACATCATTAATTTGTAGTAAAACTTGTTTTGTAGCAATATCGTAACGTGTACGAAGACGATTTCCAGCTGTCAATGGTTGATTGTCTTTCAACCAAACAAACTGGAAGAAAAAAAAAAGGAGATACATTTGATTCTTTTCTACAATGAAGTCTTACATTAGGTCTTGGTTTTCCAGTAATAGTTGCTTGAAGAAGAACAGGTGATCCTTCCTTAACTTGTTTAGGTTCTAAAGGTACAATAACTTTCGGTGGTTCCATATGTTCCATATCATCTTTGGTTGGAGCTGGAGCTTTGAGCTCTAATTGTGCAAAACGTTCTGGTTCTACGAATGGTCGTGTATCGATTGAGGCTACTGGTCGAATTGTTAGTTTACATGTTGTTTCATCACTACCAGATGGATTTGTTGCACGAACTGTATAAGTTCCTTGATCATCAGGTCGTGCAGCAAGTATTTGTAATGTTAAGACTTTCGTTAGAATGTCATATTTGGTAGTAAATCGATTGCCTTCAAGTAGTGGTTTATTATTTTTGTACCAAGTGAACTTAAAATAAATATTTAATTACTATT